CATTGACCTTTAAAGTACTATTTTCACGAGTTGCCTTTTGGAAACGTTTCAGCTGTTGGAAAGTGTTTTTACAGTCTGTAAAAATCTATTCTCACAGATGAGTGTGTGCGCACCATATGCGAGACGTTCAGATGGTTTTGTGCATTTATGTGCGAGTTAGTAAGCGTGACGTTATCCCAAGCCACCTTGATCTCAACATCCATTTTTCCATCAAACTAGCATATTTCAGTCTTACTTACCTACATCTAAAATGTCTAAGGTGATGACATCAGAAGTGGCAGAGCCGAGCTGATTGGACGCCTCCACCCAGACTTCATATGGCGTAAAAATGGCAAGGTCACGAGGAACGTAGCATGTGTACGGCTGTCCCGTGTAGTCCTCACATTCTTTCTCTTTACCGTACCATCTAGACGGTTATTAAAATGGAAAAATTGCATATTAAAAGGGATTCTTGCAAAACAGGTGTTGGTATGAAGTTTTTTGTGTCAAAATCTCACTTTAGTTTGTACTTGAGGCTGTATTTGGTGTTGATGAACCTCTCTCCTGGACTTCCCGGACACCATCTGCAGCTGAGATCCTTGGTGTTTCGTGACCAGCATGTCAGGTTGACGGGTTTCTCAGGGAGCGCTATATGTCAAATTAAAATAAAAAGAAGAGGTTGGCATGAATATTCAAAAACACATGGCAAAAAACACCAAAACATGATTGGTGTAAGCCAGAAATGTTCTCAGACTCACAGCCGACATAAAGACACGATCCGGCCAACACTTCTCCGTTACTTCTGTGGCAAACCAGGTTGTCTCCTGACCGCTGCAAGGAGCCATTGAGTTGATGAAGTGTGACGCTGGATTCGGTCGGGCTCAGGACCCTATAAGTGTTTCTAGCCAAGCGTCTTCCATTCAGCGTCCAGTACAAGGATCTAGCTGTTATTTCCAGCTCGGCACTAACGGTGCACACCGCAGTCAAGCTCGAGCCGATGGGAAGCACTGGGTCCTGGGGGGATATGACAGCCAAGTCTGGGGGTCAGAAGAAGAGGAGACTTCATGATTCCAGCAATTTTACAACTGGATTTATGGCCACAGTTGGAAAGGTCGCACAAGGTCATTTTTTAGCAACTTAAGTGGTTTTCCATCTTGTAAATATTCGTCTTGTGTGTCCGCAGAGCTCATATTTATTCATGTTTAAGACAAATGTTCAGAGGGAACGATGGCTGGATTTGAGGAGCTACTACTGGCCTTCGGAGAAACCAAGTGTTGATGCAGATCATTTCTGCTCCTGGTGGGAGGCGGACAAGCTCTTTAACATGTGCCATTGAACACTGAAGAGTTGGGAAACAAGACTGAATAATTAATGTATAAACTATGGTACTGTACTTGTTAGGAAAGACTTGCCTTATTGGATGCTTTAGCATTGAGAGACTGACCAATGAAATCAGTGAATGAACAATTATATTGACAATAATATTAAATTATGTACGCAGTTTTCATCTCTTCTAGTAAAGTTTTTTTTTTTTTTTTTTGCATAGCAACATTATATTATGATGGAGTATATCTTCTAGAGGAAGGATACCTAACTTAATGAATTAGCTTTTTT